AACCTAGGCACAAAGAACTTGGCAAGGCCTATAAAGGGTGGGGAACGAACATACACACACACACACACACACACACACACACACACACACACACACACACAGTCAGACTGTTCTCTTTTAAAAATGGAGGAGAGGAGGCCAGTATCACTAAGACTCCATTTTCCTCAGCTCAGATTTAAAGAAAAAACAAAACAAAAACCTGTCCCCATAACAGAGAACAGAAAAAACACAGTCAGACTGTTCTCTTTTAAAAATGGAGGAGAGGAGGCCAGTATCACTAAGACTCCATTTTCCTCAGCTCAGATTTAAAGAAAAAACAAAACAAAAAAACTGTCCCCATAACAGAGAACAGAAAAAAACCTGGGGTTCAGTTCTCTTCCACTCAGTGTTAAGTTTCAAACCTGGACAAATGGTTGAGGTGCCTATTTAACATATCAAAGTAGGACATGGACACCAAACTTTCCCAGGATCTCTCAATTCCTTCCTGTTACAGAGTATGGCTGGCATACCCCACCCTCTACCCTGACTCACCAGCCCAGAGGCTGGGTTGCCCTTCCCCCAGAGGCTCTTCTTAATATAATCTGGACATTTTGGTTACCCTTCTCTTGGACCTTTGACCTCCTGGCTGCTGCACCCAGTCCCCCTTCTCCTTCCCCCCTCCCCACATGGTCCAGCTTAGTCTAGTCATGTCTACTCTGGACTCTCCCAGATGCCCCCACCTCTGACTATGCTCTCCCACATATCTATAATAAACTTACTCCTCTTCCACACCAAGGAGCAGTCATATCCTTTCCTTTTTTTCCCCCCATTAACCCAGGAATGGACCAGATAACCCACCCCAGAGCTAACATGTCTATGTTCTCGCCTGTCTCCTGGCTTGCTATAAATTGTTAAGATGGCCACAGGGAGTATCCCTCCAAGGGGAATGGGGGGAATGTGATGGGATGGGGATGGGGGGCATGGGAGGGAGTGAGAGGGAACTGGGATCGATATGTAAAATATGAAAAATAATTAAAAAAAGAAAACAAGATAACAACCTTAATGCAAAAAAAAAAAAAAAGGAAAAGATAGCCACAGGAAATTAAACTAGTAGGTAACAGAACAGACTAAAAAGTATTCATTAATATGCAAAGTAAACAAAGCCTGAAAGACTTGATTATCACCATGATTCACTTGCAAACTAATTCCTCACACTTGGGCTCTAACTTCCAGGAGACAGCTTTCCTTTACCTATTAGTATGTTAATAGAACTGCAGGATGTCCTTGGGGCCTGCCAAACTGCATAAGAGTAAGAACAAATCTTTCTACAGGAGAACAAAAGAAATTAAGAGCAGAAGTTTTCCAGCCACTGCCCTGGAAAAACACAGGACCTGAGGCTGCCTAGGAAAATGGGCAATGCTTTTCTGTGAGGCTTGTGGTCTCTACCCCATTTTCCCAAGCCCAGAGTTGAATAAAACTACCACCCTCAAGAACCTGTCTTCTGATCTGTAAAGGCACTTAAAATAAGCCTACAACTCAACACTTGCCCAAACTACAAATAAATTATTTTTCCTTTATGATTTTCTGTTTCCTGATTTCTTTTTAAATACAGGTAAATTAAGATGAAGAGCTGGGAAATCTCCTATTTCCACAAAACAGAAACCTGGTTATTCTCATTCATCTTCACAGAAGAAATGAGTCTCTTGCTTTGGTTGCTAAAAATAGTAACTCAATATAATACCCTTGTTTTTCTTTCCAGGAAAGAGACAGAGAGGGGGTGGGAGAAGAAGGGAGGGACAAGGAGGGAGGGAGGAAGAGGGAGAGAGGGGGGGGGTTGGGAGGTGGGTACAAGTATCCCAGCAACATTGACAATGAACCCTCTTAGAAAAGTCTAGACCAGTGGTTCTCTCAACAGCAAAAAACTATCTTGTCCTCATAGGCCATTTGGATTATTACAAATAAAGGCGCAGCAGAGCCATCTAGTGGATAGATGCCAGAGAGGCAGAGATGCTGTTATACCTTAGAGAATACAGGAGCATTCCCACAATTTTCCAGCCCAAAATTTTGAGTGCCATAGTTGAGAAGTCTTGGTCTATGAAAAGTGAGGTCTTTTTTTTTAAGTTTAGAAAGTTTTATTATAGGATTATAGATGGGAGCATAAAAGAAAGAAGGCAGAACTACTAAACAGCAGAAGCCAATCACAGAACATGGGGTGCCGTTGAACTGTTAGTGTAGGAGCAGTACGTTCATGTTAGAAAAGTAGAGCAAGGGGGCTTCAGTGAAAGAGGAAGAAAGCCCAGAGTAGCAGGGAAAGCTTTCCCAGGCTTCTGAGCAGTATCCAAAAAAGACAGAAAGGAAAGCCTACTTTTTGAGTTAGAAGTCAGAAGTGGGCACCAGAATGCTCTGTAAGCAGCTTCTGAAAACAGGAGTTTTTAGTATTCCCTTGTATAACACAATGTTCTTTTATCTCTTGAGAGACCCAAAGCTATGCTTTCATTTTTCAGTATAAAAGAACTTGCTCTTTAGAGAGCTTTGCATTTCAGAAACCAACTAGAACACAAATGTTAAATGGCATATACAAGTTTTAATAGTATAATCTGATCGGACATCTTTTTAGAAATTCCTCAAGTAGCTCTGATTCTTTTTGTGAGACAGAGTCTTGCTCTGTATCCCAGGCTGGCCTCAAACCCCAAATACCTCACTCGGCCACTACACTCGGCCACTACACCCAGCTCCTGTTTTGTTTTAAGGACACCTGTCACAGAGACCACTCTTCCCCTCTGGCATACTGTAAAGATAGCTGCAGAGTTCACCTTCAAAGCCAATGAATAAGGTCTCTGTTAAAACTGGGAAAGAGAACCAGGCGGCAGTAGTGCACACCTTTAATTCCAGCACTTGGGTGGTAGAGGCAGGCAGATTTCTGCGAGTTCAAAGCCAGCCTGGTCTACAGAGCGAGTTCCAAGACAACCAGAGCTACACAGAGAGACCCTATCTCAGAAAAAAAGGGAAGAAACAGAAACTAGGAAGGAAATGGAATAGTCAAGAGGTCCCTGTTGTTGGGAACCAGCAGTCTGCTGACCCTGCCCCCGATGATGGGCAGGACACTCATGACTATGTCATCTCTACGTCTTTACCTGGCTGCTCAAGCTTTAGCTGGCTGCCAGTGGACTCAGTTATGCATGCACAAGCCCCCCTTTTAAAGCAAACGCGCCAAGTGTGCCCCTCTCTTGCCCTCTCTCTCTTGCCCTCTCTCTCTTGCGTTCTCTCGCTCTTGCCCTCTCTCTCTCTCTCTCCCCTGCTTTCCGTTGGCCACCAGCTACCCCCTTTCTCTCCCTTCCCTCAATAAACTCCACGTGGGCACTGAGTTTCATGTTTGTGTTTTATAGGCATTAGCTGCAGCAAAAGAACAACACCCATGATGCTGCACTAAATCATTCAAAATCATTCACTACTTCAAGAAATGGAAACTGTCCGTTGTCTCACCCAAAGACCCACCAGCCCAAGGGAACTGGGCCTGCCCTTTTAACTGACTTCTTCTGGCTAAAATGTTCCTATCATGTTTGTCATTGGCTTACAAGTTCAGCTTCATTTGTATTTCATTACCCCCCTCCTTTTTTTTTTTTTTTTTTTAACTAACTACTAACTAACCTAGGCACTGACTGGAGGACTTCCTCACCAATGTCTTGGTAGATATGGCCTTTTGCCAATGGCTTGTTTTTCTAAAAACATAAACTCTCCTTTCCCCCTCTCTTCTATTCCTCCACTTAAACAAAAAGCAGTGTGAAATAATTTCCCGGAAGTTGTCCTTTTCCTTCCAAATAGGATAAAAAGCTCTTAAATGACATGTTTTTCTTAACTGCAGAAAAGGTAATGGAGACCATCATAGAGTGAGAAAAGGTACACTGTCATGAAAAATGTCAGCACACCTCAAATTGCAAATTGACTGAGACAAGACCATCACTAGAAGGATGCTTCTTTTGCTTTACTTCCCATTACTCCACCAATCAGCACATCATTTCTTCCTTAAGGATCTCTCAGGGTCATCTCTTCTTCTCCTTGCCCATGACTGCCAACCTAGCTCAGGTAGTCTATGAAACTTCCACTCTCTCTATCTTCTACATCTGTGTCCTGCCCCTCAAAAGTTCCCTGAAACTACTCATATTGTCAGTGTGCTCATGCTAGAGACTGAAGTCCAACTTATCTCACACATTTCCCCCTTCCTTCTCAGGCCCTGGTTTCTTCCTGCTGTTTTCCAAGGTTCTAGATATGAAGCACATCTGTCAGGCTGTGAAGACTTGCTACAAAACCTCACTTACAAATCATCCTTAGACTGAATATGCATTTAAGAGGTCAATATCCTGAATATGCAGGATTAAATAAAATATGCTGGACACCTATAAAATATACTGTCCAGCATGCCTTTCTTTAACCTATCATTCAGGAGGCAGTGGCAAGCATATCTTTTTGAGTTCCAAGCTAGCCAGGGCTACATAGTGAGACCTTGGCGCAAAATCAAACAACAACAAAATCACTACAATTAGTTTCCTTTCCCCCTTCCTAACCCATTAGGAAAGTGAGAATGACCATTGTGGCTTGTCTCCCACCTGCCAGACAGCACTGCTCTCCACCCTCAATGGCTTTCTAGCCTGTCTTTGTCCTGAGGGCTGTGCTTCTCTATAGAACCAAATACCACCTCTGTGGGCTTTGGCCTAATGTTGGGATACACGGGCTCTCCTTAAGGCATTTTTGACCGCCACAGAAGCACAGACTGCCCTGCTGGATCATGAGGGTTGGGGGCGAAACCCTGATGCAGAGTTGACTAAGCAGTGGACTCACATGCCATTATCAGTCATCATAGCGAAGAAAGCCTGTATTTCCTGGGCTTAGCTCCAGGGCTGCTTGTTAGTCCCAGGGAGCTGAAGATAGCCTTAAACTCAAGAAACTCCATTCACTGTTTCTCAAGGTTATTGGAAAGTTAATGAAAGAAGACTCTGGGCATCCCACTCAACATCAGGATTCTTTGTTAATACTACAGCTCTCCATGTCTCATGGCTTTCAAAATTAATTGGCAAACTGGGAGAACTTGGTAATGCAGTGTAGACACTGAGCAGTCTGATACAACCATCTCTGAAGATAAAAATGTACAATATAAATGGCAAAGAGTAGGAACAGTTATAAAACTAACAAAATTAAAATTTATTTGTGAACAAGCGACTCATGGCTACATTTCAAAGACTCACACTCACATCTATTTATATTCTTTTGTGTGAGATAGGGTCTCATATCTATGTAGCCCATAATATCTCACAACTCCTGCCTTGGCCTCCCTAGTACTAGGATCCTAAGTACGAACCACATTTTACTTCTTTCTAAAGGTACAGATCATGAGCATTAAGAATCACTGAAATACCATCACAGTGTACTATTTCCATTCTAGCTCTCATCTGTTATATGGCACTAAGAATTAGCAAAATAAAATTCAATCTGCATAGTTTAGGGCCTCATACCTCATTTCTTTTCTAGGTGACTAGGCAATTTCACTAGATAATACACTAAATGGCGCTGACAGTTTTCATCTATATTTTTTGAGACAAGGTTTCTCTACATAGCAGTCCTGGTTATCCTGGCACTTGCTCTGAAGACTAGGCTAGCCTCAAACTCACAGAGGCTCACCTGCCTCTGCTTCCCAAGTGCTGGGATTAAGGGCATGCACTACCACCACTGTTTTCATCTTGAGTAACTAACACATATAAACTGTTCAATTACAAGTCAGGATGGTCAACAGTTAAAGCCTATTCTCTAAGAAAACAGCAGACAGCAATTCTTAGTTCATAGCCAAAGATGACTTTTAGCAAGCAAAGATAAAAGCACATAGCTCAGGGGTGTCCTGAAATCCTGGTTTCTGTATAAAGTACCACCTCTCAGCAATGCTGCTTCCAACAAATCAGATTTAAACATCTGAGGAGAATGTTAAAGATACGGTGGCAATCCTCTTACTACATACAGCAGTCAATGCTGTGTTGGAGGAACTAGCAAAGGATTTCGTACTTTACCTTTCTTTATGGCTCAACATTCTTGGTCATTCTTGGTCTTGAGTGTCCACCAGGCATTCCTCTGCCCATGAAGCTGCCAGAAACAATGAGTATTGTCTTTGTAACTAAGCAAGGGAGAGGTGGTTATTGCAGGACAACATAAACTGAGTAGAGCAGAAAAGAACATATTTCCTGGGTTAAAACAGGTTAGACAGTGTAACTAACATTCTAAAAGCCAAATGAAGGCTATTGTGTCCTAATTTTTCTAAACAACTTAAAGCATGAACATGGCATACAACATGGAGAGTTAATCAAATAACTCCATACCCATGTGTCACTGTTGGGACTAAACCCAGCAAGCAATCCTAACATGAGCATGCTGACTTCAGACTTTAGCTTCCAACTTCCATAAATAAAAACAAACAATAATAATTAAAAAATCAAGAGAAAGAAAACTCCTCACAACAGTGACTAGATAAACATGCCCTTTTCCATTTTAAGCCTAAGAACACGAAGTATCATGTTCAAAATGATCCAGGCTAGGTAGGATGTAAGCATAAGCAGAAGCCAGAAATTATTTGTCAAGGACAACTCATTTCAATGAGACCACAATCAATGTTGGAGAAAATAAACTGACAGTTGTAGTATATTCATGATGTAATTTTCAAGGATCAGGTATAACTAGCATTGATAATAAATCCATTTTCCTACAATAATACACTGCAGAAAGGAAAAGTTGAGAAACATGGACTCATAAAGCAAAGCAATGTTTGACAACACTAATTCGTTGTTAATATATTAACCATTTGAAAGACATTAGCCATTTCATTAAACATCACCATTCACATATATACAAGTTCAAGTGTGTACCCTCTTATCCTTATCTCAGTGCTTTTTTTAAAAACAACATCATTTTGTTCTCCTCAGGGGAGATTTGGAAACTTAAGACAAGTCTGAATGTGATCATTTTGGGGGAAGGGCCTACTGATAGGTCAGAAATGCCCTTCAACAGCTCAGTGCTCAGGGCAGCACATAACAATAGAGAATAATTACCCTCCTGGGGCTGAGATAGCTCCATGATCTAGGAGTTCAAGTCTCAGTGACCATGTCAGGCTGCTTTCAAATGTATGTGACTTTAACTCCAGGTGATCTAATGCCTTCTTTTGACCTTAGTGGACACAAGCAGAAGCTTGTGGGCGAGTATATGCGTGCACACACTTACACACATTTAAAGAAAATGATTACCCCTTATATAGAATTATCCCCTTTTGTGTGGCATTTGCACAACCTGGACTTAATTTCCAAGAAAGGAATGTGGAGGATGTGAAAAAAAAAATCCCCCGATTTTTCATGTTTAAAGTAGGACACACAATTACAAACTGACCAGCTAGAATTAACCCTGAACTACTTGGAAACATTAAAATCCAAACTCTGGACAAGTTGAGATCCACAGAAATAAATTGCAGTGCATGGATACACTCTGGGCTACTTGAAACTGCTCAAAGTTATTGGCCAGTTTCTGCATGGCATAAGTTTAGCCTGTTAAAACTAAAATATAACAGGGGGTGCTTTTTGTGCATATCAGTTATGCCCACAGTTCTTCAGGCAGATAACCCCACACTGGAGTGTTAACATCACCCTAAGTACATACATTTGACGTGAGATTTTTATAAACACAACAAACCTTTTGCATTGCTGAAGGAACTAGAGTACTCACAGGCTCAGTTCCAGGTCCTTTAAGTATAGGTACAAATTCTTTGAGAGCCTTACTGGCAAGGACCTCTGAACCAGAATCCATCTTCACAGTAATCCGCAGAGAGCTTTGCTTCAAGAATGATCTTTATGCTATTTGTCACCACTTAAGCTTGCAATACTAATCAGATACCTAATAACTTGCAGGCACCTAACACATCAAGGGCAGAAAAATAAACTGTTAACAGAAAATTGAAAATTATGTGCAAATCTTACCAAAAGCAATCTGCAGATTCAATGCAATCCCCATCAAAATCCCAGCACAATTCTCCACAGACCTTGAAAGAACAATACTCAACTTTATATGGAAAAATAAAAACTCAAGAAGCTAGTCACCAAAATACCAAATACTCCAATTAAAAAATGAGGTATAGAACCAGAGAATTCTCAATAGAGGATTCTAAAATGGGGGAAAGGCACTTAAGGAATTGCAATATCCTTAGCCATCAGGGAAATGCAAATGAAAACAACTCTGAGATACTATCTTACTCCTGTCAGAAAGACTAAAATCAAAAATACCAAAGAGAGTTTATGCTGGAGAGGATGTAGAGAAGGGGGAACACTCCTCCACTACTGGTGGGAGTACAAATTTGTACAGCCACTTTGGAAATCAGTATGGCAGCTTCTCAGGAAATTCGGAATCAGTCTAACTCAAGATCCATCAATTCACTCTTAAGCATATATCCAAAAATGCACATTTATACAACAAGGATATCTGTTCAGCTATGTTCATAGCAGCATTATTTGTAATAGCCAGAACCTGGAAGCAACCTAGATGCCCCTCAACTGAAGAACGGATACAGAAAATGTTGTACATTTACATAATGGTGTACTACTCAGTGGAAAAAAACAATGGAATCTTGAAATTTGAAAGCAAATGGAACTAAAAGAAACTATCCTGAGTGAGGTAACTCAGACACAGAGAGACAAACATGGTATGTACTCGCACATATGGATATTAGACATAGAGCAAAGGATAACCAGCCTACAATTCAAACCACTAGAGAAGCTAGGAAATAAGGAGGACCCCTCCCACCCCCAAGAAGGGGAAAAGGAAGGATCTCCTGAGTAAATTGGGGTGGGAATCAAGAAGGTCCAGTTGGGGGAAGAACAGAGAAGGGGAGCAAGTGAACAGATACCTTGATAGAGGGAGCCATTATAGGCTTAACAAGAAACCTGACACTAGAGAAATCTTCAGGGATTTGTGAGAATGACCCCAACTAAGAATCTAAGCAATAGTGGAGAGGCTACCTACCTTAAATGCCCTTCCCCTATAAAGAGATTGATGACTACCTTAAATGTCATCCTAGAGCCTTCATCCAGTAGCTGATGGAAGCAGAAGCAGATATCCACAGGTAAACACTGAGCCAAACTCCTGGAATCCAGTTGCAGAGAGGGAGGAGTGATGAGCAAAGGGGTCCAGACCGAACCAGGTGGGTGTCACTGGCACTGGGGCCACTGGCAGTGGAACCAGTATTTATCCCTAGTGCATGAACCGTTGTTTGGAGCTCATTCACAGTGTAGGGATATTCTCTCACCTTAGATACAGGAAGGAGGACCTTGGTCCTGCCCCAAATGAAGTGACAGACTTTGATGATCCCCCATGGGAGGCCTCACCCTTCCAGAGGAGTGGATGGGGGGTGGGATGGGGAGATGGTGGGGGGAGTGGAGGATTGGAGGGAAAAGGAACTGGGATTGATATGTAAAGTAAGATTATTTTTAATTTAAATAAAAAATTAAAAAGGAGAATATTTGCAAGTCTCCAGGCAGGACAAACTAAGTACATATGGAGCTGGATGCTCTAAGAGCAAGGGCTCTCCCTTCACCTTTCCCAATAAGCACTCTAAGAAGCCCCACTCTACATCCCTTTTAGTAGTTCTTTAACCTGTGGCAGAAAATGAAACGCAATTCACTTTCCTCTTTCTGTCATTTCCCTAACATATATTTCCACTTGTTCATTTAACCTACTTCCATTCCAATTCTAGGTAATGGTGGTCTGCTCCAGAAGACGAAGCAGGTGGGCAAAGACACAGAGAACTGTGCCCGTGTTGCTTTTGGTGAATTCCAAAATTTTGACTTTAAAACCCCTGAAGAAAAAGAGAAAAACAATGGGATGATTTTCATTTCTAAAACAGTGAAGAAGGCAACAGTGAGTGGGGGTGAACTTGGGTTCACAGTAGGCTCCCATGCGTGCATTTACTTCTCCGAGAGATGCACAGGACTGCTTTGCTCACTTGGAATTTCTGATTGTTTTACAGACACCTGCAAAACCTTGGAACAAAAGGAACATTGGAAGAGTGATAGCAAAGAAAAGCTGGGGATGGAGCAACAGTGGCTTTTAGGGACTGACACACAGAGGTTATCCAAATTAAGATATACACATCCAAGTATTTCTCAAGATCTCGCAGTAAAAAACAAATGAGGGAGAGTTACAGTAATGCCTTACCAGCAGCTTCGGCCCAGTAACTTTCAACAGACTGTTACACAGACCCCAGTCACCCCATTATTTTGGAAGTTCTTCTCTCGCTCTGGGGCGGGGCACAAAAAGAATAGGATACAAGAAATTGAGTCGTGGAAAAGCTTAAACTTGTGTTCTGGACACAATTGTGTTGCTGATGCCTACCCTGGAGATGGCGATGAGTTCCAATTCCCCTGACAGAGTCAGGGTATCAATAACGCAGATCCGGAGGAGTTCCAGCTTCTTCAGCCTCGGTTCCCAGAAAGTCAGTCTCCTCATCTCCTAAATGGACAGAATCCTCAAAGGTCATCTGGTCACCCTTTATAGGAGAGAGCACTGGGAACCGACCTATGGTCAACCCCACCCCTTCCTTGCTCGGCAGGACCTCCGCTACACTCGTGGGCCTACACCTTACGGGTCTCCCCGGCCCATGGGAGCGCGTGAGAGTGTGTGTGAGAGACAGGCCATGCTACGCTGTTGATAATGCTACAGTCTCCCCACTTACCGGGACGGATCTCCGTGCTGACTCCCGGCAACATCCTTTAACGCGTGCAACCATCTTGAACACGCCCCCTTACATCACGACGCACGTGAGTTCATGACCTCCAGCCAGCCCCTTCGGCCCATAAACCGGAAGTCCCGCCCTGCCGCATCGCTCTCCCTGGTGCTACGGCCGGCTCTGGCGCCGGATTTCCACCGGTATCCCAAAGACGGGTTTATGACTACAACCAGGAATTAATTTGCTCACTCCCTCACCTGCCGGCAGCACCACACTCTCACATTAGAGCGTAAGGTCACGCCCATATTAATTCTGTGACCCTCCCACGTCACCTGCTCTTCTCCATCCGTAGTCACGCCTTCTCGTTACGAGAGAAACCTAGGCCACGCCTCTTCCCCTGGGCTGTACCACCTGCCTCCCCTTACAGGTGGGGCCGTTTCCATGGTGCCAGCCTGGTATTCTCTTTGAGAGCCCCCTTCCCTCGCATGCATATTTGCCTGTCCTATATCCTTGGTGCCTCTTGTCATCTGGTATAAATGACTGCTTTGATTTTGATAGCATTAGTTATCTTTCATCTTCCAGAAATGATTTGAAGCAGCCTACTAAAATGTACACAACATTCTACAAGAGAAATGTTTTAAAGAATTGGAGGGAAAATTCATTGAGGGATAATAATTAAGGCATCCAATTGCAAACCATCAGATATAGAACAGTATCTGAAGGTGGACAGTAGGTGAGGTTCTAAGCTTCTAAAACGCTACAGAACAGAGGAAATGATAATTATTGTAAGAGTTTACAATATTCACAAAAGACTGATTCCCTGATAGGCAGACAGACAGGAAGAGGGACTATAACTAGATAATAATGATGGTGGTGTCTCCCTCACCCTCCTGACCAGAGACAAAGACTGGCAGGTTAAAACAACTTCTCGAGGTGGATATCTGAGTTTGGGGCCAGCCTGGTCTACATAGTGAGCTCCAGGCCAGTCAAGACTATATAGAGACCCTGTCTCAGGTGGTGGTGGGGGTACTTCCAGTCCAACAAGATAAGGCCAAACAAGAACCTGTTTACCACAGACTTAAGGACCTATCAGCTTTCCCTGCCTTTCTTCAAACTGACCATCCCTAATTTGAGGGAGGAAGATTCCCCTGACCCCCTGAAAAGACCTTTAAAAATCCCAGCCCCTCAACTTTCCAAGTCTTTTGCTATGTGTGCTTTGTTCTCTCTCTCTCTCTCTCTCTCTCTCTCTCTCTCTCTCTCTCTCTCTCTCTCTCTCTCTCTCTGTGTGTGTGTGTGTACTTCATTACCTCCAATAAAAGCCTTTTTTACCAGCTGATTTTGCCTGCTGCTATCTTCTCCCAATACCTGTTGGAAATTTACCCTGCCTTTTAACTCCTTAACTGGCAGAGAAAACAATCCCATTCAAGATCTCTAAACCATAACCCATGATAGTGATGTTGTGAGGTA